TATATATATATATATATATATATATATATATATATATATATATAAACCCGCATGTCTATCTATATACGCACAAGAAGGAGATGGGAACGGTTTTACATACCTTATCGTCCTTACTCACAGCGTGCCCGCAAGTGGCGCAGACACAGTCCTTGCAGTAGTTGTAGTCCCCAAAGCCAATGGCCTTGGTACTGGTTGCCATGGTGACGGGAGTGTTGCACTCGTGGCATACACACATAGAGCACAGGCTCTTACCATCGGCCTGCTTGGTCAGCGCTCCTGCGCAGTTGCAGATAGCATACGTGAGTTGTTTAGTATAGATGTGTGTGTATTTGTAATGTAATAGTATTGTGTGTGCGTGGTTGTGTCCAGGTATCATGTGTTTGTGTGTGTGTGTTGCTTGTTGTTTGATCTTATCGGGTGCTTTAGGCGTGTCTAGTGACTGGCTGCTATTGCCTGAAAATATATATAGGGTTTTTGGGTTTTATGATTTTAGGGTTTTAAAGTTCTAGGAATCTATCTATGATGACACTGTTATACGTATCACATACCTTTGCAACTACACATCTACCCGTAAACAGCTATCCCACACTATATGGTGAATCTGATATACATACCACACCTAAACGACTGCACAATTACTCGTAAACGGCTATCCCACAACTATAATAACCACACACGCACCGCTACAGGTTAGGTACTTACTACACAGCTACCCGTAAACGGCTATTCCACACTATATTAACCACATGTACCTCTAAAGGTTAGGTACGTACTACACAGCTACCCGTAAATGGCTATTCCACACTATATTAACCACACGTACTTCTAAAGGTTAGGTACGTACTACGCAGCTACCCGTACACGGCTATTCCACACTATAATAACCACACGTAACTCTAAAGGTTAGGTACGTACTACACAGCTACCCGTAAACGGATATCCCACACTATAATAACCACACGTACCTCTGAAGGTAGCATTCTCTGGCTTGTTGCATCCCGCACACACACATTCAGTGCAGAAGGCCTTTCCCCCGTGCACAGTCTTCTGCGTTGGCAAAACGGCCTTAGCACAGGACGAGCATACGCACATGACACACACTGTGGTGGATACACCTGTTGCGGAGAAGGACAGAGTGATGAGGGTATAGGATGGGAGAAATTAACGGGACCTTGAAGTTATGTGTGTGGATGGAAAAGTATATGTATCTTGTACTTGTGTGCATCTTACTGTA